ATGAATTAAAATAGACGTCGTTACAGTAGAGTATAACATTTACAAGATTCCCAAAATTCAAACAATAAGGAAGATGTCGTGGAAACAGACATAGTTTGGTGTCATCGGTAAAAGTTGAATAGATATAGAGTAACTCGTTGATATATTGTAGAGTCGTTTGGTTTGACGTGAACGTAGTTGTATGTTTGGGGGGTAAAAAAACAATATTTTAATATTGTCGTTTTCTTGGTTTTTAATTTGTCCATACTCGTTTGAACTTTTTGTTTTTCTTTCAATATATATATATATATATGCAGGTAATAGAATAGAAAACAAAAACAGATTAAAATTAGATGTCTGTGTGGTGTTAATTAATGTCGGGATCCATTGTAAGGGTAAGGATAAAGATATGGGGCAGGCTCTTGGCAAAGAAAACGATGGTATCCAATGAGATTGAAAGCAAACGCATCTAACTTTCCTTTTTTTCTTTTCGATTTTATAAAACCTAATAATGATTTATTACAAATCTGGATCATTAGTTAAAGTAAGTGACGCACTGTTAAAATTAGGTCCGACATATACAGTAAAACCTCTATAAATTAATAATGTTGGGACTATGGAAATCTATTAATTTATAGAGGTATTAATTTATCGATAAATTAATAATTATTAATTTATAGAGAGATATTCCTAATTTGGAAAATATTTTCAAAACAATATTTAAAAATAAGATTTAATCATGATAATTAGTATTTTATATATTCAATTACAAATAAAATAATAATTATTATGTATTAAAAGAGAATGCTAACTATTTTTCATATAGTAAAATATTAGAAATAAAATCTAACAAAAACTAATGTGTCTATATTTACATGTATTTTGAAAATTTTACCTAATTATTAATTTATAATATTGATGGGATCATATATTTACAAAGGATTTTCAAAAAAATTATTATCTTATTATTTTATCGAAATATGTCTAAAATTACACTGGTCCCAACTTGGGACCGGAGAAATTTATTAATTTATAGAGATTATTAATTTATCGAGTATTAATTTATAGAGGTTTTACTGTAATTCCAAAACTCTAGGTGGCGTTTGAACATTTAGTTAATAAGCAACAAAAAGCCCTAATAAGTCCAGATAGGGTTTATTCAATTACACGTGGATGGTTACGGACCATGTCATAAACGTATACATCCCTTAAAGCCAAGAGATAAGTATCCTATTCTTGCTGTCACAAAAATACTAATATTGTTTTCCCCTTTTGTGAGATTCTTATATATATTTCCAAATCATACCGAATAATAGATTTGTATTTATATTGCTATAATTATCTACGTGATATTTTTTTTAACTATCATCCGATAAAGATGTTTACTCTGCAACTAAATAATATAAACATAAACATACTTCTAGACTCGTTGCATACGTACGTAAACAGGCATAAACATAAATAATGTTCGTAGATGTGTGTTCTGGTGTGGTGTGGGGTTAGAACTGGGAGACAAGGTACGGGAGATCAATCTCTCCCGCTCTATGATGAGAATCATAATTATTCTGTTTTGTGAAATTTTGGAAAGCGATATATGTAGAGAGAGCATTATGTGAGGAGCACGTGCATGGATGATGATGCATGTGCATGTCCATGTGTTATGTGTATTAATTTTAATAATATAAGTTTGGCTTTGTTATTTCAACTAATGTAATAACAACAATTAACACTAGCTAGCTAGTAAAAACAATAAGACCAATTAAGCTTCACCCTTATCAAAACCTAAAATACCAACAAAACCGGGTGGGATCATATATGGCCGCTTGTTCCGGCATTGTCGTGTCGTGTGAGATCATTTGCCACTTTATATCGACAAAAAGTTTAGTTATCATTCATCATCATTAATTAAAACCTAAAACGAGATCATTTTTATTCATACAAATCGAACAGCCAATATTTATAAAATTTCTAGTTTGTTATTGATAAAATGTAAAAAGTTAAGTTGTAAACTAGTATTACATTTTCCTATATCTACTTGTAATTAGGATCATATCGAAAACAATAGGCATTAATTATGCGTTTATATTTTCCCTTTTCCTTTAAACATAATGCGTTGCTCTTATTCTTAAGGACTAGATAGAGAGCTAGCTATAGTGTTTGAGATAAAATAAAAAGGACCCACGATATGTAAAATTTTGTCGTGTTGTAGATAATTTTATTTTTGGAATATAGCTTAGTGAGAGCCAAGTCGGATACAAGAAGACAAAACATTTAAAAGTACAAAAAATTATTAAAAGAGAAGAACCAACAAAACAAATGTGAATAAGACGAAAATGACCAAATTTAAATAATTGTTTTTAGAAAAAAAAAGAAAATAAATGGGGTAGAGTCTTTCCAGAGAAGAAAAAGAGAGATTCATCAATTCAAGTAGGTCTCTCCATGCTTTTTTTTAGGATTAATTGGATTTTTAGTACATTTTTGAAACATAATTATAAAAGTAGTACATTTACTATTTATAATTAGCAAACTAATACATTTTTACTATTTGGACACTATTTAGACACTATTAAAAAACTCTTTAAATCTAATAACTATAATATTAATCAAAATAAATTTGTTTTTAATAAAATTTCAGTTACATAAAAATCTACATTTTTTTCTCTGTAATTTGATATGCATTTTATTCTAATAATTTATAATATTTTTCAAACAAATTTTGATACGTCCAGCTATCCTTATGTACAGTTGTGTGTCGCTGTACGGAAAATCATCCGTACAGCGGTCTATATATACGTATAATTGTACGTGTACAAATGTTTTTCTTGTCTATATATGTATATTTGTTTATGTGTAAATATGTGTTTTTGTAGTTATTTCTCTTTGTACAAATATTTTATGTACAATAATGTGTTGCTGTAAAGTTGTCTATATGTACAGATACCTGAAATAGTAAAATTGTACTATTTTGCTAATTATGAATAGTAAATGTACTACTTTTATAATTATGTTTCAAAAACGTATTAGTTTGCTAACAAACCCTTTTTTTTATTGGTTCCCAATCTTGATTCAACGTTTGATCCATTTCAAGTAATTATTATTGCTATTTTTTTCACTCCTTCAAAAAGTTTTAAACAAACCACCCAAAAAAAAAAAAAACTGTTACTATTTACTTTATCACACTATTCGTACACCTAATCAACTGGTTCGTCGAAACTTTATATATATGGGTCCTTTTGATTGTATATATGTGCGAAAAAAAAGAAAACTAGATTCGGGGGACTATCATTCACACAAATATTATAAATCTATATCAGTTTCGTGCATCTTCTAAATATATATTTAATACGTACAACAATACATAGTATTTGAATGTCAAGTTTGTCTTCAAATTGATCAGCGGATAGATATTAAGTTTGTAGTTTAGATAGAAGCCAAAAACAGTAGAGGTCTTAAATAGGCAGCGAAAAGGCAAAATGTGAAACTACATATACAATATCATCGACTACACTTGTTGTATTGCTACTGTTTCCGCTAAAGGACATTGTATGCAAAAAGAAGCATGATATCGTTTTCCTCCACTATAAACTATTCGAATATTTTAAACATTTATTACCACCATTTTTTCATCTAGCATTTGTTTTTTCAAAATAATAATTTGGGAATTCTTTTTGTTAATAAGAGATACAAACCAAATGAACGTGTGTTATGTATATATTTCAATGTCTGAATGATTTTTCGTCATATATAATTTTGTTCTTTTTCAAAGATAGAAATGATTGGATTTGGTTTTTTAGTGAAAAAAAAGATAGAAATTGATAGAGAGCTTATCTTATTCGAACCGAATTTCAATCTATCATATTTGATTCGAGGCAAAAATTTGGTGTGTGCATGTATAAACATGATGAGATGAGGCCACTCAAGACTTGACAACTACTATAGGTTTTATTTTCACGAATGTTTTCAGTTTGTGCGACTGCATATATATTATAATGTGTACATTTGATTTATTATGCTTATGTGGTTGTTCCTCGACTCATCTTATTTTTGTTAAATGATTTACGTTCAAATAAATTGTAGATTTTTACTCCAAATAAATTGTTACATGAGAGAATCTCTCCATTTTTCTTGGTGGAAAAGAAAAAAAAAATCAAAGAAGATAAGCTATTTTGTTCTTTGCTGCAGTAAGCTATATATTTGTTTGTACAGGACAACATTGGCCCTTTCTATTTTTGTTCCTTCTTTTGTCCCAAACAAAAAACACTCCTCTTTGTGTCTCCCCACCTTTCACAAATTATGATTTCAATCAATCAACACTAACTTGACCACAATCGCTGGACACACTATATAACGTATATCTTTGTGGTGGCGAAAATAATACATACACATAATTTTACTGCTTTGCATATTTTAATATTTGTTTTAAAACATATTAAGATCTTAATTTATGGCAATTTTTGTTGAAAGCGTGTGCTATCAAGAAGTTTTTGGATATATACATACTTAAGTCCAATGACCAAGGAATAAATAAGCAAATCAACAACATAAACAAAAAACAAATAATAAGACTACAAAACGTTTGTCTCTTTCTTTCTTTTGCATATTTGTCCGTCCGTATACACATATTAATCGCTTTCTTAAAACTATAGATTATTCTTCTAATGAACACTGTTTAACTTCTATACATATATAATATATGAATACATATCTATCCTAATACCTAAAGATTGATTTGAATTCTATATAGTTTGACAACCCATCATGTGTGTATGTATCTTATCTTTGCATAAAATCAAATAATAAATTATATATTTATTTTCTTACAAAAGAAGGAAATGGCGGGACCTCCATAATTTTCTAGAGGTTTGGTTTGTTCGTATCGTATTAATCCAATAAACAACTCAAATAACCAATGAGAATGGACCAAAACATTAGCTTTAACATATGCTTTTGCCTCCTCTTGATCTCGACTCCACCACTATAAATAAGCTCTCCAATCTCTTCCCATCACCAAGCAGCACACTTCTCACAAGAAATATATACAAACATCTATCTAATTTATAACTTCTTTTTGTTTCAAAAAAAAACAAAAGCAGAAACAAAGAGCAAGATGCCTGCAATGCTAACAGATGTGTTTAGAGGCCATCCCATTCACCTCCCACACTCTCATCACCAACCTGACTTCACATCCCTCCGTGAGCTCCCGGATTCTTACTCGTGGACCCCCAAAGACGATATCCTCTTTGCTGCTGCTGCTGCTCCTTCTCCTCCGACCGCGGTTGATGAAACCATCCCTTTCATCGATCTGGACCATCCTGACGCGGCCAACCAAATCGGTCATGCATGTCGAACTTGGGGAGCCTTCCAGATCGCCAACCACGGCGTGCCTTTGAGACTTCTGCAAGACATTGAGTTTCTCACCGGTAGCCTCTTCGGGCTACCCGTCCAACGCAAGCTAAAGGCTGCTCGGTCTGAGACAGGTGTCTCCGGCTATGGCGTCGCTCGTATCGCATCTTTCTTTAACAAACAAATGTGGTCCGAAGGTTTCACCATCACTGGTTCCCCTCTCAACGATTTCCGTAAACTTTGGCCCCAACTTCACCTCAACTACTGGTACATAGTCACACACTCAACTCAATCCAATACATTTCTACCTATATTTGTATAACGTTAATTAGTCATGGTTATAAGAGTCTTATACAAATACTAATTATATAAACTTTCTAACTTTAACAGAAAACAAAAAAGAAAAGATATAAAAAAACGTAAACGAAATTTATTATCATTTAAGGTAAAAGGTCCGCAAACATTGGACGCCCTATAGGTAGTAACAAGGGGCATAGATAGATAACAGAAGCAACCGAAACTTTGCCATGTCCTCGGAGTTTAGTGGCTTTTAAGAGTTAAGACCATATATGAAATCTAGTGCATTGGACCCCATCTCAAGATTTCGAAGATATATTTCTTTTAGTTTTACTGAAGAAAACAAAAAAATCCAACTAGCTTTTCTATTTTTTTTTTCTTCTTTTTATATAATAAGGTCGTACAAATATGTATTGTATGTATATGCAAATTGAGGAGTACCTTTTATCTTTTATGTTTCTTTTTCTTTCTTTAATGTCAACTCTCATCTCATATGTACTAATTAGATGACTACAATTCGATTTTTTATCAATTAACAGCGACATCGTTGAAGAGTACGAGGAACGAATGAAAAAGTTGGCATCCAAATTGATGTGGTTAGCGCTAAGTTCGCTTGGGGTCAGCGAAGAAGACGTTCAATGGGCCAGTCTCAATTCAGATTCAAACTGGGCCCAAGCTGCTCTCCAGCTAAATCACTACCCGGTCTGTCCTCAACCTGACCGAGCTATGGGTCTAGCCGCTCATACTGACTCCACCCTCCTAACCATTCTGTACCAGAACAATACCGCCGGTCTACAAGTTTTTCGCGATGATCTTGGCTGGGTCACCGTGCCGCCGGTTCCCGGCTCGCTCGTGGTCAACGTCGGGGACCTCTTCCACATCTTATCCAACGGATTGTTTAAAAGCGTGCTGCACCGCGCTCGGGTCAACCAAACCAGAGCCCGGTTATCAGTAGCTTTCCTTTGGGGTCCGCAATCTGATATCAAGATATCACCTGTACCGAAGCTGGTTAGTCCGGTTGACACGCCTCTATACCGATCGGTCACATGGACAGAGTATCTTCAAACAAAAGCTACTCACTTCAATAAAGCTCTTTCAATGATTAGAAATCACAAAGAGGAATGACGCACTAGTTGAGATTAATCTCGATCGGCCTAGTTATATATTTTGATTAATAAACTTGTTGTAAATTAATATTCCAGTGATAATAGTATCATTGTTTGTCCTCAATCGTATCTGTTACACATAGATAACAATTTACGAGGAAAAACACACATCTAGCACTTTCCCGAATCGTCCCATGACATGTTGCCACTAATGAGAATCTCATTATAATATAAGTATAACTCTGCAATTATGCTTCTAGGGTGCCAAGAAATTCTATGATTGTAACACTAAAAAAATCTATTTCTTTTTTTATAAAACATCAAGGACAAACTACACGGTGTTATTTTCAGAGTCCCACCACAATTCATATTTGTTTTGTTGCTATTTGTCAGGTTGTCTGAAAATAAAATAACAAGGCACATCTTAGACAACCCCTATGTCTACTCTATAAAAGAAAACGAAAACGACGATAAACAAATTACATTATTATTATCTTATAACTTTTACAAGCAATATCTTCACTCTCGATATGGCCCATGTCTGTGGAATTTTTTTCTTTTAGATTTGTTATTTGATTAGAGAAGCAATTAGCTATAGTCTATTTCGTATAACGGAGACTTGAACTGGTGTTTGGTTTAAGGCCCATGGTAATATAAACAAGGCCTACTATATAGGCAAGCAAGGACAAATATACTAGCATTTTTGTTATATAACCGAACAGAAAGAGGAAAAAGGACTAAACCGTAACCTTTGTCGACTCATTTGAGTTTTATTCAAGGAAGGAACCAAAGAAGAAAGAGGTCTAAAACACACTATTTAGTTTCAAATACATGATAAGTGCATATTACAAAAGGGTATAGGTTTTGGTGGGAAAATGATCAGAGTGGGATACCACAGTAGACCTTGGTCATGGTACGGTGAGCCTTGAGATGAGCCTCCAATGTCTCATAGTACTCAAGAAGTCCATCATGACGAAATGGTTTGTACGCTAAAGGATGGTCCTTGTCCACCATCTCCTCTGGTGTCGATATGGTTCCTTCTTGGAACGAAAAGAACCCTAACGAATACCTCATTTCCACGCTCTCCATCTCAACCTTGTGATAACACGCCTTGATTCTGTCGTTGCTCCACGCCTGATGATTTCATATAACCTCATAATTGTAACAGCATGCATGAAACTTGAACTACTGGTTAAGGAAATTCAGCTTACCATGATGGCATCGCCTGCTATAACAACAAACCGGGTTGGTGAAGGGGTAAAAGGATACCAAACATCCTCTTTATCGGATTTCAACATGAGTCCGGTTATGTGGTTCTGATGGAGGATGGAGACGAAGCTCTTGTCCGTATGAGATATGAACTTCCTGTTGGGTTCTCCATTAGGAAGTCTCCTGTATTTTAACAAGCGAAGAAGGTACCGTGTTCCTTCTATGTGTTTCTCTGCGTCCTTCTCCAAGTTATAGCTCTCGAAGAGCATCCTTATCACAAGTTGCTCGAGGTCCGCTTGCATTTTCCCATATGCATGAATGGTTTCACTATAATACATAAAGCGAGCGCTAATAACATAGTAGTTAAGGAAGACTTCTGAGAGTATTAAGTTACTTGATAAAAATATGATACCAGAAACGGTCGTTGTCATGATGATCAGGCCACATAAGACGAGAGAATCGGCGGCACTGTTGAACATCGTTGACTTGGTCAACACCGAGGCCTTCATGAACGAGCTGACCATCTGACATCATGGTGATGTAGCCGTGTCCGGCCTTGTGGTTCTCGTTCTTCATCTTGGTTTGCTGAGGAAGATCAAGTACTTCCTTAGCGGCCTCCAAAATAGACTGATGAAGTTCTGTTGGAAAGTTGTTGTATTCCGCCACGAACCATCCATGATGCTCCATGGCTTCACGGACGCTGTCTCTCGTTGAGTTCCAGATCTTTGTGTCCGGTTTCATGTTCTTGTCAGAAAGGTTGATGATCGGAAGCTCTGGAGTCTCATTCCCACGCATTTTTACTCTAAAGCATCGTAGTTAGTTAATCAGAAAATAATTGGAAAAGCCATACAATGTTATAAACTGTGTATATATATTTGTTCATCCTATATTAATATATGATCCAAGAAAATAAACTATAAAATCACAAAATGCGTACCTGTTTTAGTACCCACTCTTAGAGTTTTTTTTTTAGTTTACGTACTGATATGACGACGATGTGTTTATATACTCACATTGAAAGATGCTTCATACGATAAACTCATGTAAAAGATCAATTTGTAAAGATGCTTCTCCTTGGCGTCCTTGTGCGAATCAATTTTAAAATCCTCATGTCGCTATACATTCCACGTATACAATCATACGAAAAAAGCATATACAATAAGATAAACCGTAGTGTGTTATTTACTGGGTCTATTTTGGGCCTAAAGGCATACATACACATATTAAAAGCCCAGAATGTTCTATCCTTGAACCGCTTGGTAGAAACCCGGTTTGACATTTTCTAATTTCTCAACTGTCACCAAAAAAAAAAAAAAGGTAAGAAAAAAGACCTTTGACTTTGCAAAGCCGCCGACGTTGACCGTCTTCTCTCTCTATCCCACACTTGTTGCTTTGGTTGAATATTTGGTTACAGATAAGGAAAATAAAAAGCTCGACGGCGGCATTATTATGCTTTTCTCTTTCCCCAAAGATTCACATTCCTCCTCCCACCGGAAAAATCTACGCAGATGTGGAGGCAATGGCGGCGACGGCAGTGGCCATCATCCCATCTCCTCCTTATCCTCCTCATATTTGCAGCTCCTCTCCTCCGTTCCTCTTCCGCAATTGATTTCCTCTACAATTCCTTCAGCTCCGCAACCAACAGAACCGACGTAGTCCTCATCGAAGATTCCCGAATAGAATCCAGCGTCATCAACCTCATCAACGACTCCGATCCGCTCTCTCTCGGACGCGCTTTTTACCCGCGAAAGCTATCAATCATACCCGATCCAACTCGAAACCCGACCCGGCTCTCATCTTTCTCAACTTCCTTCGTCTTCTCCATCCTCCCTGACATATCCACAAGCCCTGGCTTTGGCCTTTGCTTCGTCCTCTCCAACTCCACCTCCCCTCCAAACGCCCTCTCCAGCCAGTACTTCGGTCTCTTCACTAACACCACTGTCCGATTCAACGCTCCTCTCCTCGCCGTCGAGTTCGACACCGGTCGGAACTCTGAAGTCAACGACATCGACGGAAACCACATCGGGATTGACCTTAACAACGTTGAATCCACCGCATCCGTCACCGCTGCTTACTACGATTCTGTTAATAGAAGCTTCGTTCCCTTTGATATGCGTAATGGACAAAACGTCCAAGCTTGGATTGATTTTGATGGCCCTAACTTCGAGATCAACGTCTCCGTCGCTCCCGTCGGTGTGCGTCGACCTCTCCGGCCAACGCTTACCTTCCGTGATCCGGTTATCGCCAATTACGTCTCCACCGATATGTATGTTGGCTTCTCTGCCTCCAAAACGAATTGGGTTGAAGCTAGAAGGATACTAGCTTGGAGCTTGAGTGATACTGGAGCTCTTCGAGATATCAACACTACGAATTTACCTGTTTTCTTGCTGAAATCTTCGTCGTCTTCTCTTTCAACCGGCGCAATCGCCGGGATCGTTATCGGTTGTGTTGTCTTCTTAGGGCTAATTGGATTTGGGGCTTTTTTGATTTGGAAGAAGCTAATAAAAGAGGAGGAAGAAGAAGAGGTCGAGGAGTGGGAGTTAGAGTTTTGGCCTCACCGTTTCAGCTACGAAGAGCTCGCCGCCGCTACGGACGTTTTCTCAAACGATCGTCTTCTTGGATCCGGCGGATTTGGCAAAGTCTACAGAGGGGTTTTGCCCAACAACAACAGTGAGATCGCTGTTAAATGCGTGAACCACGATTCGAAGCAAGGTTTGAGAGAATTCATGGCGGAGATCTCGAGTATGGGTAGGCTGCAGCATAAGAATCTGGTTCAAATGAGAGGATGGTGTCGCCGTAAAAACGAGCTGATGCTTGTCTACGATTACATGCCAAACGGAAGTCTTAACCAGTGGATCTTCGATAATCCGAAAGAGCCAATGCCGTGGCGGAGAAGGCGTCAGGTGATTAACGATGTCGCGGAAGGGCTTAACTATCTTCACCATGGATGGGACCAAGTGGTGATTCACAGAGATATCAAATCAAGTAACATCCTTTTAGATGCCGAGATGCGTGGCAGGTTAGGGGACTTCGGTTTAGCCAAGCTTTATGAGCACGGTGGCGCTCCAAACACGACTCGCGTGGTTGGTACGTTAGGGTATCTGGCACCGGAGCTAGCGTCTGCGGCGGCGCCTACGGAGGGGAGCGATGTGTACAGCTTCGGTGTGGTGGTGTTGGAGGTTGTTTGTGGGAGGAGGCCGATAGAGTACGCTGAGGAGGAAGATATGGTGCTTGTGGATTGGGTTAGGGATTTGTACGGCGGAGGGAGAGTGGTTGATGCGGCGGACGAGAGGGTGAGGAGCGAGTGTGAGACGATGGAGGAAGTTGAATTGTTGCTCAAGTTAGGTCTGGCTTGTTGTCACCCTGATCCAGCCAAGCGGCCTAATATGAAAGAGATCGTTTCACTCCTGCTTGGGTCACCTCAAGAGGATTTGTTGACTGGCCTCACGCCGGCCGCCGACGCAGACTCTGCGGCTGCTCACGCCTGAGTTGATTCTTTTTTGTTTTTGATGGCCTTTTGTTTTTGTTTTTTGTGAGAGGAATAGTATATTTGAGACAGATACAAAATGGGCTAATAGGCCCGTTGATATTGTACAAAAACCTATTCAGATGCAAAGACATTACCAGACAAATTTATAGAAGTACTGTACGTAGCAGACATTTTTTTGTATTTTTTTTTTCATTTTAATGGTTTTTGTAATGTTTCTTTTTTCTTTTTCTATATATGAATGCAACTTGAGTAATAAAGTGTTTAAATTATCTAGAATTCAGAAACTAATTACTATGGCAACATGAATTATAAAAACAAAAGTTTTCAAAAACTCTTTTTCCGATTAAAAAGAGAAAATTACAAGGCATAATTACGAATGAACTCATAATTAAATCAGAAATAAAAAACCAGATTATATCTACGTTACATACTGTAGTAAGCACCTGTTTCTTAATATTTTTTTCTTCTATGACTTAGGGGGTGTTATTGGATTTAGGTTTTTAATTACCTTATAATACTAATGGATTTAAAAGTTCAAAGGATTTCTACTGCATATAACGTGGATTTAGGAAGTGGTTTTAGTGGATTTGTGATGATTTACTTTTCAAAAAAACGTGGATTGTTTTGGTTTTTTAAGTCAATATAACTTTATTAATGAATAAATTTATTATCATTATTTTCCATCGTCACCTTTCTCCTTCGATGGTGATGGAGATGACCTTTCCATATCCAGATTCAAACTATGCTCAATTCCAGTGTTCCAATTGCTCTATACAATTCTAATTCAAAATCTTAATGGGAAACTTGCTTGAAGCGACGCGATGAGTTTTCGAACATCGATTCCATAACATCGGTAACTTTGATGGGTTGTGGTGTGATTCTATAAAACGATTATAACTTTCTGTGATGAAGAAAAAAATGAGATTAAATTTATAAAAAAAAAAGACAAAATTTTTTTTAAATATATATTTACATGAAATCCTCCAAAATACAGATGAAAATGATTGGATTTGTTTTACTCATGATCTCGCTTAAAAAATCCAATCAAATCCATTATAACAAAAACGTAGGAAATTCAAATCCATTTTGAATAACAAATGATTTTAATGTATTTCAAAATACATCAACAAATACTTGATTCAATAACAGCCTACTTTTAAAATACATCAAAATCCATTAAAATACGGGATCCAATAACCCCGCCTTAGTAAATACTTTTCTTTAATCTCTCTTAATTTACAAGCAGTATATTCTCTCTCGATATGTGCAAGGAAATATGATCCATGTTTGTGTAAATTATAATTAATTAGAATTTTTTTTTTTGGAACACCATTAATTAGAAAATAAATAAACTATTTTCAACTAGAAACGTTCGACTTGGACGAATAAAATATGATTTAGCGACAATTTACCAAATCATCTCTAATAGTTTGACGTAATTAATTGGCCTACCAATAAACAAAGAAATGGCCGCCCTAATTATAAGGAAAAGCGAATAGTACTGACGAGACGTTCTCGATGAAACTGGAAGAGAAATGTAGTGTATGAAGTTGGCAGCTTCTAAGAAAGTGGTTGTGTCATTAATATTTAGGGGGTTTTGAAGAGGTTAACGACGACTACCTTTCACAATTCATGGTTCGATTAGAATCTTCGACTCGGACTATTTTTACAAGACCCCAAACAAATCGGTCAAACTGTATGTAGTGTAACAGTACCTTTTTTTCTAACCATTACATAAATAATAGTATCTCTTTTATCCATCGGGAAGTCAATCTATATTTAAATATTACCTATAAACTACTCCATATATATTGGATTATTAAGAAACCCCAAACACATAACATTATCTATTAAAATGCAAGATTTAGTTTTAAATCAACAGAAGATACTTAAAATATTATTTTGTTATATATTTTCAAAGATGAAAAGTCCAAAGAATGATACAATTCAATTAAATAATGGCGGATTTAGGATTAGTAACAAGCAGCTGCCATGACAGCTTAACGAGAATAGAGAATCGTCAACGTTTCAAACTCACTATTTTGTATTTTACAACATTCCCTTTTTTTTCTTCTCGCGTTAGAAATCGTTCAAGTGTTTTTGATCTTGTAACTAAAGATCTTTGTGCCCATATTAAAGTTATATGGTTGCATTTATAATGACAAAGACAAACAAAAACAAACAAACTGTGCAACATGATTGATACTACATTAAAAACATGATCATGTTCAAACCCTTTTTTAAGAAATTCCAGTTTCACACTGTTGTACCACGATTCTTGAGATAAAAGTTATTATGACTTTAGGGTGGGATCAATTAATAATGACTTTTTTTTTTAATTGCTCCTTCTAGATTTCCCAGACAGAGTCACAGCTGACGTAATAGTTTCTTTCTTTTCTTTATTATGAAATTCAAAAGCCCACAAGAGAGAAAAGCGTTGAACGTTTATATTTATTCGTCACGTTCCGTCTCTGATTTTTCAACCTTGGTGAAGACTTCAGAAGAGACATACATATACATGCATGTGTCTAAATTGTGAAATCTCCTCAATGCTTATATATATATATATATATATACGTAACACAAACCCCTACATTTACTTCATCTTCCATCTAAAACTCCCTCTTCAGTTTTCTCATATATGTCTAAAGAACTTGTTCTTTGATAAATCTTTCATTTTTTTTATAATAAATCTTTGATCTGACATAAACCAAAAACAAAAAAGAGAGAAGATAAAAAAGAAAGGAAGGCTTTTGATTTCTTGGATACAAAATGGAGGGAACTAGCTTCCAGAAAGCGAGTAACAGTTTGAGAAGAAACTCGTCGGTGTGGAGGAAAGATTCAGGAATGGAGATTTTCTCGAGGTCGTCTAGAGAAGAAGACGATGAAGAAGCTTTGAGATGGGCTGCTCTTGAAAAGCTTCCCACTTTCGATCGTCTCAGGAAAGGTATTCTCACTGCCTCACACGCCGGAGGAGCCATCAATGAGATCGATATTCAGAAGCTCGGGTTTCAGGATACGAAGAAACTGCTTGAGAGGCTCATCAAAGTCGGTGACGACGAGCATGAGAAGCTCCTATGGAAACTCAAGAAACGTATCGATAGGTATTAAAAAGCTTCTCCTTTTAGCTTAGCTTTTAATCAAAACAGAGTAGCTCTGTTTTGTTTGATGGTTCATATCGGGACTACAATGTTATTGTGTGTAATTACAGAGTTGGAATCGATCTCCCGACAATAGAAGTTCGGTTTGAAAATCTAAAAATTGAAGCAGAGGTTCATGTTGGAGGCAGAGCTTTACCGACGTTCGTTAATTTCATGTCCAACTTTGCAGATGTAAGAATGAGTTTTTACTTAATTCGTTTCTTTGGTATTCAAACAAAAACAATAATTCTCTAACAGATGATTCCTTCTTCATTGATATTAACAGAAGTTCCTGAATACTCTGCACCTTGTTCCAAACCGAAAGAAGAAGTTCACTATACTCAACGACGTCAACGGAATCGTCAAGCCTGGCAGGTGAATCTTTAGAGTCCCTTTAAAACCATTTTTAAAAACTTGAAAGTATTTTTTATTCAGAAATTGTTGAAAGATACTTAGAACTTGTTGACCGATGACCATTTTTGAATTGTGCAGGATGGCTCTGCTCTTGGGTCCTCCAAGTTCTGGTAAAACGACCCTCTTGCTTGCCTTGGCGGGAAAGCTTGATCAAGAACTAAAGGTACTACCATATCTCTTTATTTTGTGAATTTCATGTGAGTGTTGTTTTGTTTTTTTGTTTTTATCTACAATAGTATGATTTGTGTGAATCAATTATAAATTTCATTCTTTGGTCTTGTAGCAAACTGGAAAAGTGACATACAATGGTCATGGAATGAACGAGTTTGTGCCACAAAGAACAGCTGCGTATATCGGCCAAAACGATGTTCATATAGGTGAAATGACTGTTCGGGAGACTTTTGCTTACGCCGCTCGTTTCCAAGGTGTCGGTTCGCGTTATGGTGAGTTTTTAACAATTCCTCGTTTTCTATTTTCTCAACACATTTCGCTATGTTGGTTTTTGCTAAATCACCTATGTTTTCGTTACGCATTAGATATGTTGTCGGAATTGGCAAGAAGGGAGAAAGAAGCAAACATAAAACCTGACCCTGATATTGATGTCTTCATGAAGGTTAGTTACTATATAACTTGTATTACTTCCCTCAAAACTTCAACCTTGTGAATAGGGCTTCTCATAACTATTATTCCTTTACAGGCCTTGTCAACAGCAGGTGAAGAAACAAATGTGATGACAGATTATACCCTCAAGGTATAGTTTCATTAAGAGAATTATGAAAGTCTTATGCTAGAAACCATCTAAGCTCTTTGGTAAATTCTACAGATCTTAGGTCTTGAGGTCTGCGCAGACACTATGGTTGGTGATGACATGTTGAGAGGTATCTCCGGAGGACAAAAGAAGCGTGTTACTACAGGTGAAATGCTGGTTGGACCGTCGAGGGCTCTGTTCATGGACGAGATATCGACTGGTTTAGATAGCTCAACAACGTACCAGATAGTGAACTCCCTCAGAAACTATGTTCATATCTTCAATGGGACAGCTCTGATCTCTCTCCTTCAGCCTGCGCCAGAGACATTCAATCTCTTCGATGATATCATTCTCATTGCAGAAGGTGAGATCATCTATGAGGGACCTCGCGATCATGTCGTGGAGTTCTTTGAGACCATGGGATTCAAATGTCCTCCAAGAAAAGGCGTCGCTGATTTCCTTCAAGAAGTAAGACTTGATTCATCAGAACAAAATTATATGAGTGATTTTGTTCCATGTCTTTATCGATGACTACTCTGGCAGGTGACATCAAAGAAAGACCAAATGCAGTATTGGGCACAACCTGATAAGCCTTACAGGTTCATAAGAGTGAGGGAGTTTGCAGAGGCGTTTCAATCATTCCACGTTGGGCGGAGATTGGGAGATGAGCTCGCTTTGCCCTTTGACAAGACAAAGAGCCATCCGGCTGCTTTAACCACCAAGAAGTATGGAGTTGGAATAAAAGAACTTGTCAAGACAAGCTTCTCAAGAGAATACTTACTCATGAAACGAAATTCCTTTGTTTACTACTTCAAATTTGGACAAGTAAGTGATCACACATGGTACCAATTCTTTACATCCTGATATAAAATATCCTT